GCTACACCTTGTCAACATATTAAATAATAGTGTTGCTTCGAACTTTATGATAAAAACCCCGATTTTCTAGACGTGTATACAAATAAAAATAGTAAGTTTATACTATAAATGAGTTTATTTTACCTGTATCGGTTTAAATTTGCCGTTAAGTTGCAAATAATTCTGTTTGAGAACGCAATAATTGGGCATTTCGCAACCAGGGCAGTTTCAGGGCAGTTTTGGCCTTGTTGTTGGGAAATCCACTAGGCCTTCTAGGCTTGCTTCCTCCGCCCCGCCCCTAAATCACCTAGTCCCAGTCTTTTCATGTGAAAAAGCGCTGAATATTAAAAAAAAAGACTAGAAGGCCTAGGTCTAGGCTGGGGGTCATCAAGGAATGATTGTGGTTTAGTCTTTGAGTGTTTTGTATGGAAACGTGCCAGCAGAGAATGGAGAAAAATTTATTACCTTCTTAACATGACACTAAGTAAATTAAACGGATTCGACTAGCCTGAAAAATGGCCTTGCAAACACTGTGACAAATCTTGGTGAATTTTCGGCGACTCTAACATTTTTTATCCCTTTTTAAATACAAATGTTATCTTTTATTTTTACATACTATCCTGCTTTAGCAAGTTAATCAAATTAAAAGTGATTGTTTGGTATTTTGCATCAAAAGTTAGAAAGGACGTGAAGGCTTGTTAGAAGCCTAAATGCGGAGCGGCAGTTGTAAAAAGCTTCGTTCAGTCGATTTCTTTAAATACAATCGAGAAAATAAAATATGTAATGTCTCTATTACCTTTTTTGGTTTACCTCGATGGAAGTTCACCCAGTAATATCCATCCTTTGCCTTCGTGTTCTTGTTCAGTATATCCAGACAGTCATAGCCGGGGTCGAAATATTCCCCAGAAGGTTTGGAATCTGAAATTCATTCAATGCAGAAATAGCTAAGTTCCTTCAATTCAGAATTAGCCAAAATGTGACCCAACATTGTCAAATACACTTATAGCAGGAATTGAAGATTTGGTCAAGCAAAAAGTAATTATACTCACTGTCGGTTGTCTTCCAGCTGTAGACCCCATTATCTTCGGTACAAATTAATACGGTGTCCCTGTTCTCCCGATCTTTAACTAATATCAGTTCACCATGACTTGATTTTGAACATTTGCCGGGATCATGAGTATTACGAACTGTCACCATCTGTCAAGATAAAGTAAATATGATTTATGTGTAACTCAATGCGATAAAATATATATGAAATACACTGAAACTCACGTCTAGCATAAATTACAAGCATTTCTTGTATTTTGGCTGTGGATATAATCTTGTCGTAGCAGACTTAATTTAAATTTGATTTAAGGCTGGGTGGTTCCTGTCCTAGGTTTTGGACCCCTCATGTGGCCCACCCATTAGGATCCTTATTTTTTGTCGTTCCTATATATAAGTCTAAGTTTTTCATATACCTAGATATATTTCCTATTTTTTATGTAATTCAACTAATCCTAGTGAGGATTAAAGGTTAGATGAAGCGAATTGAAGTTTATGCACGTTAACAATAAGTTTACCAAATTTGGTTATGCGTCTACTGCCTGCGCCGGAGCACATACGCCATCTTTTTACGTGTGTACATAGGAGCGCGCAACCTCGTACACAGGGTCTTTCCTCTTGTAGAGAAAAGACCCTAGTAGACGCTTTTCACGTGATCTGCTAAAATCTAGCTGATTTCTAATTAACTACCTAGGATTCTTTTACGACAATCAAACAAACGCCAATAATAAATTAAACTATAAAAGTTATCAAAATGTCTAAAATTTATTGACCTTCTCTTGGATTGGCTAATTCAAAATTTACTAGATTTTACCAGATCACGTGACCAGTGTCTACCAGGGCCTCTTCTCCCCTCGCGAAGAGGAAAGACCCTGGGTACGAGGTTGAGGAGCGCGTAATATTAATTATTATTTTATTTTCAGCCAATGAAGTGATGTACTTTAAATGTGCGTAAATTGAAGGAGGAACATTTAATAAATGATGATAAATCAATAAATCCTCAGATCGCATAGCAATATGTCATTCAATTCATGGATAAAATATTCACACCGAATTCAACTTGTTCTACTGACTAATTTAGAAAAATGGGCGGGAGCTGTTCGTATCAGCAACCATTCTCGCTATTCTCTTTTCAAATACATCAAGGCGCCCAAATTTTACATGTTTAACAACTAGATTTAAAACTCTAGAAACACAAGGCCAACTTAGGTGAACTGTTACAAAACGGCTAACAAAGAACAGCAAAATTGAAGATGTGGAAACCACACATGGTTATCGCATATAATGTAACCAATTATACAATATGCATCCTGTCAATATTTTACGCATCTTTGTGTCAAATTCTAACAATACGTTATTTCAATAGTTTTTTTGGGAGACTGCATAGTAGGCTGCTCGCAGACATTGTATTTCTCACGCCAAGCGACGAAAAATCAACGTCTGCTGAACCGAGCTGCACATTCCATTCCCTTTGTATTAGGAGCCAATCATCTGTCAGTGTTCAACAGAGTTATGAATTGGAAGCTTTATCGAGGGATTATAGCTGCTGGGGAAAGTCCCTTGGGAAAGTCTTTTAAGAATTTGTCAGCGGGAGGGGGGCATCTACAAAAAGGAACCATTGGAGAAATGATAGATGGTTTGTTGGTAACAAAAAGTTTGGTGTGGTATCGCATTTAATAGTAGGGGGGGGGGGGGGGG